ATAAAATACTCTATTCATTAACACCAACTACAGTTTGTACAGTCACACCATAACAACTCTGTCTCCAGAGGTGCGGAGTTGATTTATCATTCATTCTTATTTAGTGAATATGGGTTAAAAGTTCACTGATAGCACCCACTTTTACAAATATTTGCCCTGGCCTCCTGCTATTTTCATAATAAGGACAACTTCATAGAGAATTCTGAAGCCTGCATCGTCTTCACATGATTAAATGTCCCACATGCTTGCAGCCCTAAATATACAACACTAAACATGTCATTTTCCACTTAAAGAGGCTGTGAAAATGGCTGAAGTAACTGACATAAATGATGTAATTTCATGTCAAAGTGACAGACGGCAGCAGATGCACGCCTGTACTGATGCTCTCTGCATGCTCATACCTGTTGCCAGGTAGATGGGGTGGTGCTGTGCAGGACTCCAGCTCTGGATGGCTGTGCGGTTGATCACTTTAAGTTTCATCCTTGAGAAATAAGGGCATAGTTTGAACGACTGTGCAGTGATTATTACAATTTATTTATGACACTTTTCTCTCACTTTAGCGTTCAGAATAACCAGATATTGAATCCTTTCATGTAGTTTCGTTTCTATGACAATAAAAAAGAGCTTAAACGATCAGTTTCAAATGAAGTGGCTAAATACAATGCTTTTTAATGGTAGCTTTATAAAGGTTAACATGTGCAGTTTTTTCTTAGCGTTTCCCCAAGGTATGATCACTTTAGAGGTTCCAGCTTTAGAGGTTCCAGCTGAATCTTACTGAATTGTTTATTTGAGTTATAGCATCGTTTACCACATTGTAAACACTGTTAAGTGTTCATTAGACACTTATGACAGGCTGGATATATAAGCAGAAATCTGCTGTGGAAACAAAAATCAATATTGATAACTTTTTATGTGTTGACTTTTCTATCAGTTCAACCACAACACAACATCTTCATGGAGTTGCATTTATTGCAGGACTGCTATGGATTATTTTCCGTTAGGTGTGCTAACAATATCAAAGAATTTTAATACCATATTAATAACGACTTTCAAAAGTGTGAATCTGTCTCTTTTACATCGAGGGGAGCGGACCGCTTAATAAACAAGTAGTTACAGTTTTACACACGCTTTCCCATTCATCTTGCTGCTGTAATAAATACACTAGTTACAGAGTAACAAAGGCCTGCTCTGACTGGCACTAATTATCACACGCTTTGTGTAGCTCGGGGCTGTGTCGGGAAAGGACATCAGAAATGCTACATTTAGCTTTAAAAGAAGTTTTGCAGTCGTTTGGTTAAAATTACAAAATAAAAGTCCTTGCTAGCAGCAAGCTAACAGCTGGTGGACCAATTAAAAGCCACACAGCCGTGTCGTTTATGAGCCTCGAATAATACGAGAAATGCGCGTAAATTTATTGTCACTTCTTGTACATGTTTACTACGACATGGTTCAGCTTGGACTAATGCAGCTGCAATGAGATATTGTGTTTAGAAGCCTGCTAGCTACCTGCAGGGACATATGAGAGAAGAAACAGTTACACACTCACACAAACCCGCACACAGATCTTATTACTTCACTAAAGCAGCTTACCTTCTCTTCTTCTCTTCTTTTCACATGAACGCACACATTAAAAAAAGAGTAGGCAAACACTAACTGTCTCCGCCCGTACAGGTTCCCCTTTCGATTCTGCTCAGGGATTTACAGCTGTAGAAACAGAAGAAGAGGCTACCGGGTCCCGGCTGCGGACTCGAGACAGATTTCCACGTCCCCACTGGTCTCCATCAACGTGGCACTAAGCAACAGCCTCCTCCTACCACGAAGAAGAACGACTTCCGGGGGAGCTTCTCCCTGTTTGCTAACTTATGCTAATGTTAAGATTTTTATAATAAACGCTAAAAATATTAGTAACTATTTTATGTGAGCATTTATCATTTTAAAGTGTTTCTTTATTAAGGAGTAGGAATAGTAACGAACCGGTCTTTATATCATTTAAAGTATTTCAGCATTTCATTTACAGTAATATGCAAAAATCTTTAGCCACCCCTCATTCATTTATATTTTGCTCCCAGTGACTCGAGCTGTAGTTTTCTCGGCATTCTTGCTGTTCTTTTAGGGTTTTATTTTTTCAGTCACATTCAGTTCTTGTACGGCACCATTTTGAAAGGAGTGATTCCTTTTTGTTTGTTTAAGCCACTTGACACTCATAAAAAGGGCACCTAAGCGATAGGAATAAATAACAGGTGTATCTTTTGGTGCTTTATACATAAAAACTACATGGAATTTAATTTTTTGCACATAGAATTTAAAATGTGTTTTATGTTATCTTTAGAAACTTGGTTACTAACAGAGTGACTATTAAGAAAAAGGTCCAGATTTGCTGAGTCTACAAAAGAAGTCTCACAGGCCAAAAATAACATTTTATAAAATATTTTTGCCTGTTTTGACTCAAATTGTCATTAAATCTTGTTCAGTTACCTACTTAACAACTGTTCAAATATCTTGGGGAGGGATTAATCCAATTTTTTAAAACAAATTAGCACCAAATAGCGATAAAGCAGTAGGACAAAATCATAACTATAGTTTATCTACAACATTAGCCGTCTGACTCTATCAATGCTAACAGTAAAGAGAATCAGAGGCAATGTATTTTTCTGCATTGTTTTAATATATGTACTAAAAAAGTAGCAACAGCCAATGAATGTCACAAAACAAAACTTTCTTGACAAGTTGATTTTATTTGACAACAAATTTAAAGTAACATGAAGGCAAAGCAGTCAGGTCATTATGCATCTATATCAATACATCACCTGAACTCGGGGAAACATTTCAGCAGTTGAACCCTGTAAAAACAATCGGAGTAATAAAATAAACTGTTAAATTTAACAGCAGAGGTGCACTTTAGTTAAGAAAATATAAGATAACACCCTCATTTGAAAGCGTGTGTATAATCTTCCCCAGACATATGAATGGGTCAGATGGGTAGTGATTGGTATAATCATTGGGAAGGATATTTATTTCACAATATGTTGTTGGGCATGAAGACATACATACATGCAAGTCACATCCACACGTGGCTCACTTCAAGGGAACTTTTCTGCAGCTAACCTGTGAAAACAAAATCAATTAGTTTCTATATAAACCAGCACACGAATCAGAACATAAGTTGCCTGCAAAATACGATTATCGTACAGTTGTATTTTGCAAAAAAAAAAATTGAATTACAATTATGGGATGTGCGCCGATTTTTTTTTACGTGTTTACTCCAATTTCAGAAAATGTTGGCTTATTTTGCTGGCGGCGACTCTTGATCAACATTTTACTTTTTCACCAAACCAGCAAAGTTTGCAACCTAGTCTCTCTCCACACGTGCAGAGGGGTTAGTTGGGCTAACGTTCAATGGCACACCTCGTTTCAAATCACGTTCAGAAGTGAGCTAACTCCCCAAACCGTCTACACATTTAACCTAGAGGAATGGTGTAGATAATGCAATTTAAGGTACATATAACAATTCGCATTTCAGAAACTAATTTTCTCTGAGAGCCTTATTTTCCCAGCCATGATACTGACCGCCAACACCAACACTCATGGTTCTCCTTCGGCTTCTTTTTCTTCTTTGCGTGTCTTCTTCTTGCTGTTCTTCTTCTTCGACGGTCAAACAACGAAGTGGTGGATTGCCACCACCAATGACTGTCGCCACCAAGTGGTACAGAAAATCAACATAAAGAGATACAACTTGATAACCCCCGTTGCTTTATATTTGTAATAGACCCAGTTAAAATCTACTCAACCTTCTTTCTTTCTGCCTCACACATCCGACACGTTGCACTGTTTTATCTCAGTAATCGCACCTGCATGTACCATGTCTACCTAATAATAAGACTTTTAGCTTTAATTCAGTGACTTGTAAAACAATTTTCTGCTAACTTTTTAGGAATTACAAATATTTCTATGCAAAGTTGCCTATTTTTATATGTTCAAAGGTTATTGGACAAATTGACATCATTTCAAATTTAAGGACTCTTTAGTTGCATGAAGATCTTTTGCAGTCAACAACTGCCTGAAGTCTAGAAGTAATTGACATTTCTTCTTTTCTTTTTCTTAAAAAACACAGCACACAGTAACGTCTCTCTGCCTTCCCCTTTTTCTTCAGTAACCTGTATGATCAGACGACTGACCTATCCTTTGAAGGACAGCCCATTTCTTTGCAAAGAAATTATCCATTTACACTGTGAAACTCCATCCGGTCAGTTTTGGCTGAGTCTGAGCAGAGAGTGAGGAATTCTTCTATCTGCAGTCACATAATCAATATACACCAGTGACTTAGTTCCAATGGCAGGTATTCAGAGTTGCCATAGCAATGCTTCCACCTCCAGCATGTTTGGCAGATGCTGTAGCATGCTTTGGTTAATGAGCCTTCTTCAGCAGACTGAAGTGATTACTTGAATGTATGCTGACAGATATATCATGTCTGTATATGAGTGTGTACATGAGAGAACTAATGAAAAATAATAGAACTAGCAGGTCTGTAATGGTGCTCAAAGGCAGAACAAGAAAGAGAAAACAATATAAGAGAAATATGATCTCTTTTCCTGTTAGCATACTTGATATAGTGTTTTGGATCAGCTGAATGCTTTTTAAATGGGTTTTACAACACTTGTTTCTCAGAGTGTCCTGTATTTTAATTGATTTGTGTCATCTAGCTTCATTGACAGTACTGGGACAGTGCTCCCGTGGAACTCCGTGAATAACTTTTCTGTTTGAAGTTTATAACCTAAATAGAAAAAAAAACAAACAAACATAAAAAGAAGCTTTGCCCACATTTGTTTACTTAAAAGCACAACAAGCAGCTCTTCCAGCCCTTGTTCACAAGTCTCAGCTTTATAGCTTAGGCCAGACTAAAACTGAGACAGAGGGTCTAAAGGTACACAGGTGTGGACAGGGCTGGAAAACACTAACACTCAGGCTATCGTGTCCAGATATCTGAAAGAACACTAAACAAGTCACGTGGGTGTAATTGGTCTTTAATGTACAGTAAGCATGTAACTAAGAAAACAAAACAGCACCAGGAAAAATGTGAACCTCTGTCAGTGTAACCAAGTTACAACTATTCTGTACTGTGTGTGTGTGTGTGCGCGTGTGTGTGTGTGTGTGTGTGTGTGTGTATTCATCTTACATTTGGATTTAGGATAAAACCAAAGATTGCATCTACTTATTTCTCATTAAAACAATTTAGCCTAGCCTTGGTTAATAATTAACATGTTGTAGCATTTGAAGCCACACAATATTAGCGCTGACAATGATTACAAATACCTGTGAAAATAAATATCAAAAGATACATATTCTTTTTTTGTCTACTGAAAGCACAAATATACGGATTACATAAAATTACAGGCATTTTTTTAAACCTCAAAACAAACCTAAAAAACCCCAGAGTGAAATGGAAGAGCAAATGTGAAGGAAACATTTGATAGAGGTTTGGAAGGGAAATTTGGGGGAGAGGGGGGGGGAGAAAAAAAAAAGAAAATCAAGTGAAAGAACATTTGTATTCCTGTTCAGTCATTTGTGTGCATCACACTCAGGTGGACAAGTATGGTAACGTCTTCAAAGTCAGTCCATTTCTCCTTCTGTTAGCATAGGTGAACAGTGCAAACAACTGCTCCATGTTTTTTATTATTCCAGCTGGCCTCAGCTTGGCTAAGGCAGGGGGGTGGGGGTGGGATCTGCCTGCCTTCAGTTCATTGTTCTGCCTTTTGATGAAGGAGACAACCTGTTTCCCTGCAGGCCAGAAACCCTGGGGTCTAGGACAGAGTGCAAAAAGTAATCCATTCTCTTAGCCTCCACAGCTGGTAGGAGGGTTAAGGGTGGAGAGCCTTTACAGGCCTCGGCCTAGCAGTTGATGGAGGCACAGTCTGATTTGGCTTTCCCTGCCGAGCTGATTATCCTCATGAGGCAGTGTCCAAACTCCTCCAGAATCATCCTCTCTGCCTCAACTTGAGGCTGGTGAGTCTGTTCTGCTTTTTTGGCCTGCTCCAGCAGACACTCGCATGTTGCTTCAAGCACTTCCTTTGTTACAAACGTATACGGGAGCCTGGGGGAAAAGCAAAATAAAAGTCTGAGTATTGACAACAAAGCCATCATTATCTGGTCTCAGCAGTAGTAAGCAGATGGATCGTGGAGACTCCATGTCAATCAGACACAAGTGAGTTTTAATGACCCCCTCCATAGCTTCATATAGATGTGCTGACAACTCCTGCAGCTTGTACAGGAAACACACACATTTTGCACCGTTTCTGAAAGCGCGTACGTCTCTACTTAAAGTTTTAAAGTTTAGGTAGTTTAGGTCAAATTTGATGTTGCATTGCAGATGACAGAGATTCTGAGTGTCTTCTTCTATACAGCTTATTAATTTAACACTGGTATTGGTTTGGTGCCCAGGGTGCATGCCTAGACATTAGTTGGTCCTTGCAAGAAAAGAAGACTTCCTTACAATGTATCTGGGATGTAGCCATTATTGTTGAAATAAAATAAAAGATAAGTGCTTTATTCACTCATCTCTCCTGAGTATCAGGATCCAGATTCACCCAAACCTCCCTCTTCCTGGACACCTCTTTCAGGGTGACATAAAGGCCTTCTTAAGCCATCAAAAGATGCAACTCCAGTCCCTCCCAAATGACTGAGCTCCTCACCGTCTCTCTAAAGGAGTGTCCAGCCACCCTTCACTGGAAGATCATTTCTAATTCTTGCGGTACTGTGTCCGCATCACTGCAGATGCTGTATCAATCTGTCAGTCAATCTCCTGCAGCCCTTACTTGTGCAACACTTTAGCTAAAGCTAAAGATTCTACAAAAGTACATATCATATGCTTACTGTAAAAGAAGCTCTTTGCAGATTTGATTTTATGTTGAAAAATGTGTGAACTGTGTTTCAGGTACCTGCCACTTCCACTTGAAATCACAGGCGTCGTCCGCATGAGCAAATCTGAGATCTGTGAGGATAGTTTGGTCTTGGCTGCCGTTTGCTGCTGAACTCTCACTTCTGCTGCATCTGCCAAATGCATTAGCGTCTTCCTCTCCGGGCTCTCCTCAAAGTTTTTGCAGCCGATGCATTTACAAATGGACGAACACATGATCTTCGCCTGTGAAGAGAAACAAAAATGAAGGAAATAAATGCCAATAAGAGACGAATGAATGGAGGTGACGCCATCTGTAAAAAAAGAAAACTGGAGAGCTTACCTCGTAGCACTCGCAGTAGTTCTTCAGGCAGCCTGAGCGTTTGCAGTTGCAGCCCTTGCTGTGTCGACGGTCCGACTCTCCCTCCTTGCCTTTACCAATTTTAGGTTTAAAGGCCTCTGGGTTTCGGTCCAGACAAGTCTGTGAAAACATGTTTGTGCAGCAATTTATGAGTCAAACAGGATGCAGTTCAGCCCAAAAACAGAATTCAGAAAGTGGACTTCTGCCTCACCTTTATAGCTTTGAGACGTTCAGTTTCATGTTCCAGGTTATTGAAGCAGTTATTGCAGTTACAGTTATTGCAGAACTCTCCATTTGCAAAACAGTCACAGTAGCTATAGGAAGGCAAACAAAAAAACCCACCATTTAATAAAACCATGTCAACTGTAATTTGATTCAGCAACATTAAGTCTCTCAGTGCTTCCTAAACTCTGATAAAAAGGAAAAATGGTTTCCACCGCAAAATAATACTGTATTAGGATTTTTTTTAAACTAGCCATTACCAGCTAAGCAGGTCAGCTAATTGGAAGTTTGTTTGTTAAATCTCTTGCTGCTCCAGTCTGCATGCCAAAGTATCCTTAGGCAAGATACTGAACCCCAAGTTATGCTCCAAGTGTTAATAAGAAACACATCAGAGAGCACTTAGGTGTAGAAAGAAGTGCTTGTGTGAAAGGGTGAATTAGGCATGTTGTATAAAGCACTTATAAAAACCATAAATACCAGTCCATTTATCATTTACCATGGCGATTTCATAGCAAAGTTGTTCTTTGACCTCCTGGAAATAAAGGTCATGAATTTAGAGTTTTACCCAGGCATTTGTATGAGATTAATATGACTGCAAGCTGCTAGATTAGTGCAAACATAATAATACTGATTACTGTTATCTATATTATTAACAATGATTATTCCTTAAAGTAAACATAATAAAGTCACTGAACTGAGATTTTATTGAACTTTAAATACAATGAGGGTTAAAAACACCATGGGGTGTTTATGACCATAAATCTCATTTTGCAAGGGCACACGTGATTCCCTGCCAGCCTTTGGCCTCCACTGTAAGACGGCTGTGGGTGCAGGTAAGGACACAGCTAGCCGCAAGTGGCAGTGGGCTTGTGAGCCTCAGGAGACCTACACAGCAGCTGGAAGCAGACAAGAGAGAGCCAACGCAGAAAGCCAACTGTCACAAATACTGAAAGCATACCAGGTTAGAGAACCTGAGCAATCTGGAGACAAAGGCAGCTGCAGGCAACTGATAATCCTTCTACAGGTTCATTAATAAAAACCCAGCCCTACTTTGACCAACAAATCAAATTAAGCTCAAGTCCACTGAACTTTTGTCTTAATGTTTTTTAAGAAAGAGACTTGTCCCTCTGCCAGATGAGCAAAAAAATATTTACAATATTAAAAATATGCATCAATATTTATGGAGCGTAAACAGGAACTTGGTTTCTTCTTTCTGACTCAGAGACAAAAAGCTAAAATATAATGTCACAGATGACTTTACAAAATATTCAGCTGAAATTACAAACATATAGTTTGTATACAAACATGTATTAATTATTGAGCTACACCTGGACAGATTTATCCAATGGATAAACATTATCAGTGACCGTTACACTTACAGTTTGAGGCACTGTGACTTGGTACAGTTACATGGTTTTCTTGGTCTTGAGGTTGTTTCTGCTGCTGACAAACTGAACCAATGAACATTAATTAGATTAAACTATAGACAGTCACGAGAACAAATGAAGAAAATCACTTTAATATTTTGGTAAACATCTTTTTAAATAGAACAGATATCATTTAGTTGGTCTTTCAATGCAATATATATAAAAACAAAAGTCATAGTAAGATGGCTTCTACCATTTCTTACCCATTAAGAGGCAATCTGGCCTGAGTCTGGATACCAGTGGATGCAGAAAAACTAGAGCTGCTGGCAAGTGTCACAAATGGTGGCTGCTGGATCTATGAGAAAAGCAGAAACACGATATTGAAACTCACTCAGGAAAAGGAAATCAATCTTTTAAAAACAAAAAACAAAAAAACAAAACCCAAAACAAAACAAAAAAACCCTTCAAACCAGGGCGTACAATGGATGAAGGTACATGGGATTCTATATTGTCGAACAATGGATTATACATTAGGGAAGCCAGGGGGAAATTTATTCAATACAAAATTCTTAACAGATACTATTATACTCCTTCAAGGCTGTATAGAATGGGGATTGGTAGAGATGACTTGTGTTGGAAATGCCAACAAGCCAAAGGTACTCTGATACATGTACTCTGGGAATGCCCGCTGGTTTTTCCAGTTTGGAACACTGTACTGAATTATTTGCAGGGGTGGACACTTTGTAACCTACCCAGATCACCTAAATTATGTTTACTAGGAGACAAAGGAGAGGTGCTGCAATTAAATAAACACCAGTTTAGAGTGTTAAGTACTGCATTGGTAACATGTACCCGTGTCATTTTGGAACACTGGAAGGACTCCCATACTCCAACGCTTAAAATGTGGAAAGACAGAATGATTGGGAATGTTGCATGCGAAAAGATGCTGGGAAAAATACATCATGTGACGGAAGCTGCGCTGGAACAGTGGGACAATTTTTGCACCTACATGTCTACCTGACTTGGACATTTGAGCTTAATACAACATATGTTAAAACCTCACTTGTTTTGTTTTGTTGTGGGGTTTTTTTGTTTTTATTTATTTATTTAAAAAAAAAATTGTTTGTTTGTTTTTGTTTGTTTGCTTCTTGCTTTTGGTTGCTGCATCTCTGTATTTGCTGTTATAAAATGCAAAATCTAATAAATACTTGAATTATAAAAAACAAAAAAATAAAAAAAAACCCGTCAAACCAAAAAGCACACAAAGATAATTCGCTAACCTGTGTGACATATTGTGCTGGCACAACCGCGTAACCCACATTCCCTCCTCCTGGAGCTGGTGTCAGGACGGTGCCTGGAGGGAGGTTGGTGAAGTTGGGCTGGATTTGGGGTAGTGGAGTCGCAGGCATGATCAAACGTTGCTGAGTCTGAGTGGTGGTTACTACTTGTGGTCCTGATGTTAAGGGCTTAGGTGCCACCTACGGGGAATAAAAACCATGAATGCAGCTCAAGGGACATTTCAGAGAAAGTTCTCTTTGAATGAACTTGGATACCCAGGTTACCTGTTTCATGGTCTGTGCTGGGACAACTGGGACAGACATCCTGACCGCTGCTGTACTGACCACCATAGGTTTAGCTGTGGGATAAGCACCATCACGAGTTGGTACAGCGCAATTACTAAGTGCTGCCTGTATTTGTTAGCAGAGGAAACAAAACAAGTTCATAGGTCACCTGTCTGTATAGAGCTGGTACTGGGACCACTGGGCTGTCCTGTGCTGCTCGCTGTCGTTGCTGTGACGAGGCGAACGTAGTGGAACCTGCTGCCAGGCACCTGGATCTGCTGCACGTTGGGCTGGGTGGCCAGGGGTATGATTGTTTTAAACTGGGAACCTCCCACTCCTCCAACAGCCACAGGTTTAATGTTCTGAAAACATTCACATCAAACGGAGAAACAGACTGAAGCCAGTAATAGAAGAGAAAATTTAAAAACAAAACAAAACAAACAACAACAACAACAAAACCTAAAGAACCTCATCCTGAAAACAGTTTGTTAAGAGCTGCCCGTTTTACTGGCAATACAATCTTCAAAGTGCACTTCAGTTTCTTTTTTGCAGGCCAGGATTAAGCTCCCCAAATGCTGATCTATTGTTATACATGTAAAATGCATAAAAACAATCTTATATCATAGTTGGGGCAGGTGGTCACATGAAAACATTTAATTGTTTTGAGTATTAATTATCTTTCTATCTGCTTGGAAACAATCTTACACAACCATTTTATTTCTGGCAAAAATGTATATTGCTATGGAGGTAAAATTTACATGCGAAGTAAGTCATCATCATTGGTGCCCCACATAGTGCACTGAGATAAACATGACACGGTCTGTCCTGCCTTTTCTGCATCAGATGGCCATGGCTTTAGCAATGCAGACAGTTGAACAAAAACAACTGCACAACTTATTGTTTTATATACAAAGAAGAAAATTCAGTTTCTCTAGAAATTGCAGTGGGAAAAACCGGACTCCAATGTACAGGCGCTCGCCCTCGGGCACCCTCCTCAGTTTCACTCATAGGGGTTTTTGAATTGCCCGTTGTCTGGTCCCTCACCCAGGACCAATTTGCCTTGGGAGATCCTGCCAGGGGGCGAAAGACCACCCAATAACATAGCTGCTGGGATCCCTGGGCCACGCGAATCCTCTACCACACCGGTTCCCAACCCCCGGGCCTCGGACAGGTACCGGTCCGTGAGTCGTTTGGTACCGGGCTGCGAGAGTTGAGGCTCAGGTGTGAAATGTATGGTTTTCAGGGTTTTTAATCAGTTTTCAGCGTTATTTTGTTATCGTTTTTATCGTTAACTCGGTTTTCCTGGGTCTTTTCACATGTGTTATGAATAAATCTTTTTTTCGGTACCGGTACTAGTTCTATTTTGTTGTATTTATCCGCGACACCTTAAAGGCCGGTCAGTGAAAATATTGTCGGGCATAAACCGGTCCGTGGCGCAAAAAAGGTTGGGGACCGCTGCTCTACCACGATAAGGTGGAGATTCACAGATGGAACTTTATTACCAGAAAAAGTGAAATATTTCCATAATGGTACAAATTTGAGAGAAATTTTTTTTTTTTTTTTTAAATCAAAGCATGCAGTGCACAACTGAGCCAGTCATTTTGAGTAATGAGCAGTCTGTTTACTACAAACTGTGTCAGACTATAAACAACAATCCCACCAACTGCAGATGTATCAATCTGATATTTGGAACGGATTTCCTCCATTTTGACCCAAAAAGGTTGGATCGGATATAAGTGATTAAATCTATTCACTTCCTTTCTGTGTTCACTACACAGCAGCAATTATTATTTCAAGAGCTAACATAGCACAGAAGAAGCCATTTCACTCTATTTTTATCTTTCCACAGCTTTTAACTGCATGTTTGCTCCATGTTTGTTTTCATTCATCAGTGTAATGCTTATTTGGAAGTTTGGGAGGTTTTGTTCTGTTTTTGTAAAACTGCACTTGCAGTAACAGTGAGTTGTCTCCGTCTTCACCTGCTTCCTGTCAGCTCAATCCTAAATGCGGCCTGTTTGTGTGTAGCAGTAAAATGAGGTGCACTCAAGAGCAAGAAAGAAGAGAGGAGGAAAATAGCATGACTGCACATCACAGCAGTATGCTGCAACTCCTTGACTCTCATACGGAGCTGAAATGACACTTATGCACAAACAAGGTGAATACGTTTTTGTTTTGTTTTTTAATTCCTTTTCTCCCCTCAGATCAAATGGTATCAACTACAACTGACTGTTCTGTGCTTTCATGTTACCTGCGTTGTTGATTGGCTAGTGGCCACCTTGACTGGAGATACAGATGTTGACTGCTGGACTGTCAGGATCTGCTGGCCAAGTGCTACATTCACAGGCAGTGCTACAGACTTCTGAGAAGCACCGGAGGTCGGGGAAGCCACAGACACCACAGTCACCTGGCAGGAACAGACAAGCGGCATGAGCTGTGAAAATTTCACCTGATTAAACAAAGACCCGAGTTGGATGGCAATATAGCTGCCATTACGTATGGTAACAGGAATGTCACATAAACCAACATTCTATAACAAGTCAATTGCAAACACTATGTATACATATTCATTAATTAGTAGGAGTGAAAGAAATATCTAATATAATTAGTGCTGTCAGTGTTAATCTCATGAATCGCTCTGTGCGTGGGGCTACACAGCATCAACGCGTGAGCACGGTTAGCTCGTTAACGCCGTCCAGCCCCACGCACAGGGCGATTCGCGATAACTCGTCATTTTAACGAGATTAACACTGACAGCACTAAATATAATATAATATAATATAATATAATATAATATAATATAATATAATATAATATAATATAATATAATATAAACTCCTGTCTGCAAATACGATGATGATTACTAGTGCCAGAGGCTGATGTTTATGTACTGTGACACATCAATCCGTTGTGGGCTGTCTAAATATTCAAAGAGTGTGAATACATCTACTGCATTTTTAATAACTACATTTCCAAAAAACAAAGACAATCAAATTGTTATTTTAAACAACAGTATCGGCCCAACCACCAACGCTACCTCTCAGCTTCCTAGCAGACACACCTATGGGATCAATTTCAAAATTCTACGTAATTTTATTCTCCAGTTTACGCAGTCACAAGATTTTCATAAAACTTCACCTTTGACCTTAAGGTCAAAGTCACTGAGATTTGAACTCTTCTGAGATTTTTAGTACATACACCTATAGTATTAACTTGAAGTGTCTACGTTATCCCATTCACAAATGTAGGTGTCCATGCCACCCCCCTGCCCAGTAGGGTGACGATAATACCCCAGGGCTCTAGACTAACTTTTCGCCATGGTTGCATTGGTGCGCCTGTGCATCAGCACAAAAGTTAGGTTCACAAAAACTGGGCGCACGTGACATCATTACTGTATGTGGAGTTGACGTTCAAGCCATTTTTCTTGTGAAGAATTATTTCGGACTTCAACTTAGAGAATGGAAATTCTTCTTTGCAATATTGTAGGCACTGTTAAACTTAATCATCATTTGGCCTCCTCTGATGACCTGTTTGCTGCTGCCTGCCGCTGAAAGGCAGTGGAGAGAGGGGACACTTGGGCAGTGCATTTATATTGTGTCATATAATGTGTTTTCTAGATACACTGTGCTTTTTCAGCGTTTCAATTCGAAATGTATTTGCACCAGTCACAAATGCAGTATTGCCGGGCATGGTCTTTCTACACGCACAACAGTAAATGCAGTGCATAATGTTGGCAGCTTTACTGTATCTTAGCCAGGAAAACTGGTCAAGCCACTCTCTTCGAAATGTATGCACTTTCCCCCTTTTACTTTCAGTGTGCTCTGGCTCAGAGGTCGATGCCGTCTCTGGACCAGTGTTAGACGTAACCTGAGAGGTTGTCAGAGCACTGGCTATGAATTTCAACAGATCAGGCCTTAACTTAACAAAAAAGTTATCTTTTTATCTTTTCTCATTACCCACAGCTACATCCACTATCAGGCCTAGGCTTCGCACCTCTCTCTCTCTCTCTCTCTCTCTCTATCTGCCTGCACTTTCAAACGTAGGCCTACAGGAATATCTGGACCACGGCCAATCAGAGAGGTCCCGCCTCTAACTGAGTATCTCTCTCTCTAATTGGTTTAGACCACGATATGGGCATAACATGTCTGTTGTTGACCACACGAAGGCTTTCAGAGTTGCAAAGACTCCCCCCCCACTCAAACGGCTGGTCATACCGGTGTGACCTATGATTTTTTTTAAGTTGCACCATTGAGAAATTAGGTCACATGTGCAACCAAATTGGATGGAGGCCACTGACAGGCAGTTACTCTGCCTCTGTGCTCTCTGCCTGGCATCATGAAGCCCGACTGCCATAGAATACCAGAATTGGCAGGTCCAGCACTGGCATCCTGTGCTTTTCACAGGTGAGAACACCCTGAGCTCATGTGACAGATGTGAAAGGGTCTGGAGAAGCCATGGAGAACATTGTGCTGCCAATAACATCATTCAGCATAGTTTGGTAGTGGCCCAGTGATGGTCTGAGAAGGAATGGAGGGACGCACAAACCTCTACAGGCTAGGCATCACACCCTGAGTGTGACTACATACTGGGAGAAAATCCCCAGACCCACTGTCAGACAATACCCTGATACCATTAACTAGACCCCATCCTCGCCTGAAATCAACAGAGCATCTCTGGGACATCACGTTTCTGTCCATCCGATGTTGCCTCCTTTCCAGGAGCTCAGTGATGCACTGGTTCACATCTAAGATGATATCAACCAGTATACCATCTATCGTCTCATTATGGTTAATTCCTCAATGTTGTCAGTCATGAATGCAAGCATGTAGGGGCCCATACAAAATACTCTCTACCTGGTCTGACAGTGGGTCTTCAGCATGATTTTTTTTCCAGTTAAGATCTGATGTGTTTTCAAAGTGTTATTAAATGTTTTAATATTTTGAAAAGTGTTTTACACTAAGGTCTTTGGTTCTCAATTGAACTGAGGGTAAACAGATAAGCCCTTAAAGAAGAATGGCTAGCAAACATCCTTCTCTGATCAAAGTACCATTATTATATCATTGTGATTCCAAACATTTTTGAGTAAACATTGCAGGGGGTTTCGAGGTGATTTATTACACTCGTGCTTTACCTGCAGTAACAGGTTGTAATTATGTGACAATTAAACTATAGACTTATTAGTTTTAGTCTCTAGCCACTTGATCATATTCAGTTAAAGTAAATATAGAAAAATATAATATCACCTTGCTGGGAGTCTTGAGAGGGGAAATGGCAATCTTTTTGCCAGGGATACTTTGTAAATTAGTGTTGTGGGGCTCAGAGAGAGTAATGGTCCTCGGGGGCATCACTGGTGAACTCTGGGTCAGAACCCGTCCTATGAACAGACAGTGCAAGGTTTAATGACAAAGCTAATTACAACATAATTAGAAAACAAACAGCAATAAACTATGTGGTTTGATAATTATTTAAAAACTGAAACAACAAAATAGTCTCAAAAAGTTATTACTTAGACTTACCTGTGATCACAGGAGGCATTGATGTCTGGGCACTTATACCTTTGCTGTTAACAGTTTTTGTGATGATAAACTTGATCGGTGCAGCTGAGGATGCTGGTGTCTTCTTGGCAATCTGAAAAGACAATTAGCCAGAAATGTTTAAACGTATTCATTCAATATCCAAACATTGCCTCTTTCTGCAGATGACGACTACTGGCGTGTCCTAGCTTGGTCAGTTCTGTTGCATTTTCATTTACTGATACTGATGTTGATACCTGAGCTCTAGTTGTACAACTTAATTGATACTGGATTTATGAGGGTGATAACTGAATTTATATTCGTAGGGAAAAAGGTCATCAGTGATATTGTAAGATTACATACTGAGCTGGTCAATGTGCAGTATTAAGACAATTCTTTGTCAGTGCTCTGATATAGCAACTGTGAAATTATGACACTTTTTTTTTTTTCAAATGTACACACAGTGTCAGCACTTCTGCAACATGACTTTATGCAGCCAGACAGGCCAGCTGAGGTATTCATTTCACAGCAACATCGGTGGCTTTTTAAAAAAAAAAAACATATTTAAATCTGAATATCTTACTGGGGGTAAATTATTGCAATCATTCTCCTACATGTAGGATAAAAAGAGGATATACATTTCCTTCTCTTCTGAACTATGATTTTAGACAAAAATATTATTTTTATGCTTGTTAAGATGATCTGACTTCAGTTCTTAAATAAATAGCGCACTAATAATGTTCATCTAAACCCTGAGTGTGAGTGTGCTTGTTTCCCTACAAATTTTTTAATTATTTAAGAGGATAAAAACTCCCAAACAAACATGCCCGAGTGTATATGCTTGCTCTACCCCTTATACACAGAGTGAAACAGTCACTCGTAACAATTTTTAATCCAAATATGAGAACTGCTCATTTAAACAACGTCCAGACAGGCGAAGAACAGTTGAATGGGGAGATTTACCAATTTGTTTGTAACCTGTAATGTAAACCTGTTACGTCTGTACTTTATGAGTCAGACAACTCCCACCCCCTGCCAAGAGGTTTTAACCAGATCCTAACAAAAAATACCCTGAAATTACAAATCTAAACACCAAGGAATCTTTACATTCCACATTCAAACTACATGGATGAACCTCTTAATCTTCACCAAAGTGGTTCTCTCTCTATGCTCCTTTTTTTTTTTTTTTTTTTTTTTTTTTTTTTTTATCTTCTCTTCCCTTCATCTCCCAACCAGTCAAAGCCCATATTAGGCTTTCCATGAGCCTGGTTCTACCAGCAGGTTCTTTCTATTCAGAAAAAGACTTTCTACTTTACCATTGTCATGTGCTAAGTGATCATCATGTCATCAGGATTCTCTCACTAATGCTGTAGAAGCCTTTAACTTGCAATAGAAAGTCCCTTGAGGTGACTGGAATTGTATAAATAACATTTAATTGAGCTCTGCGCGTTATAGTTCCACATTAGATTCCTAGTGGTTCTAGTGGTTACTGAGACACAGTCCCACTCCATCTTCTCTGAAACACCAAACTGTACTTAGTCAGTACACTGTTGTTAGCTTACATTTACTGGCAGCCTAGATCAAGGTCAAAGCAGATCTTATCTAATAACTTGAAAAACTTTGTACACAGTATGTTCAATTAATATTGAGGCAATCATTTACAGTAGTAATTATGTTTAATTTAACAGTAACATGTGGAACATGACAAGCAATATTTTTGTAAAAATGTATTAATAATACAAAAGGTTATTGTTACCTGGACAGTCTTCAGCTGCTGGGTCTGTAATGTGGTCACCTGGTTGCCCACCACTGGCTTCAGGTCTGACCTCCCACCTATAGTCACCACTTTAAACTGCGGCGCTTGAGACTTGGTGTCTCCGGCAGTCTGTGAAATGCCAGGCTTGCTGCCTGTGTGGGGTAACTGAAGCACTATAGGCTGCCCCGATTTTCCTATAGCTGTAACCAAAAGTTTCTGTCCATCCTGCTTGATGACCTGGGGTGGATTACCTGCAGACTTTGCTGCTTCTGAGGCTTGAGAAGCCACCTTATTGAGAATAATCTGGCGATTTGCAGGAGAGATTGTAAATGGAGTTGTGAGCTTCTGTAATCCACTTGTAGTCACACTAGTTCCAGTAACACTGTCTGTGGTTTTGGTTGTGGTTGTCGAAGTAGCCAAGGCTGGTTTGATGGTAAGAAGAGGAGACGATGTGCTGGAATTTGAGACAGGAGGCGGACTTCTGGGGCTGGCACTAAGCATGGAGTCTGTGGCCGTGGAGGTGGTCATAGCCTTAGTGGGTTCGGTTAAAACGGCATCTGAACAGAGGCTCACGTTCTCTGAAGCCACGGGTGTATCAGTTTCCATTGGGACCGATGCATCATCACTGGGCTCTGAGTGGACTGCAGTGGTGCCAGGTTGAGAGTGAGGAACATCCTCTATATCCTCAGTATCCATGATCTCATCTGGGAGGAGGCTGTTGAGCTCTGGTGACACTACATCCATGCTTGCAAACTCTCAGCTTTCTGTTAATCCTGAAAAACCAATACAATTTAATTGTCATTGCAAAATACATCACAAACACTAGTAAGCCACTACATTAACACCACTGTCAGTTTAACTTATAATACAGGCACACATGTTCAAACTCCAGCAGGTCAAATCTGTTTTTCTGGCTATTATATTAGGCAGGAGGGTTTTCTGTTGTATTTGATCACTTTTATATTATTTGAAAGACCTAGAAGCTTACATTTACTGCACTAGATACACCATGAACAGGGAGAGACAGACAAAGATAATACAATTTTAAAATTCTGAGGATATACATTCATCGTTTTAGAGAGCTGTTGCATTTAATTGCAGTCAGTGTTTGCAATTCATTAAAAAAATGTATTCCTCTACTCATTTATACAATATACATAACTGGATTATAATACAGACAGACAGCTAAAAGCTGTGCTGAGAATATAGAGCAAGATAGTTCAAGCTAGCGAGCTAGCCATGTAGGTGCAGTAGAAGTGCCAGATTGTCATAACTTTACCTGTAAATGACTTCAGTAATTACGTGAGATGTAATAAATAAGGAGGTGGGAATGAGTAACGTTTGACTTGTGCTGATTTTGACTGAAGCAGACAGCTGATGCTAGGCCGCAACGATCATCTCTGCCGTATCTTTGTCCTGCTGCACTCTACTCAACATTAAGCCACCGAAACGCACATATGAACCCTACCCACTCCATACCACATTCACACGCAGAGCTGACTGAGCTGAATCTCTTCACGTCCCCAGGTGAAAGCCATCAAAAGAAAACTGTGCTGAGTTGCACTCGTTTATTTTATAAATGCCCAGAAGTGGTCCTGACTGGGGCAAAGAGCGAGAGAAAAAAAGCGACAAGCTGTTTTGCTGGCTGCGTTACTATTTCAGGCCGGGGTTGGATTTCGAAAGATCCGCCATTTTTACCTCGTCATCAGCTTAGTTAGCTGCCCGGCTAACGCTAAGCTATGCTGAGGGGAAGCGTTTATAAATATTGGTAACAAGCAGAGACACTTACACTGACAGTTCACTGCAAAACAAGCATAACTAAACAATCAAGATAAGACTTGATGTTAACAGGGTGCTGCTAGCGAATAAAAAAAAACAACCCACAAATAACAACAACAAAACTCTGCAGACTCTGACAACGTAAACAATGCTTGCTTTCAATAATTTCTCCTGTCACTTGACATAGGAGGAAATACATCATTTTAATTCCACAATGCAATTATTGCGATTGCTATTATAGATCTCCTTAACAGCATTTACAGTCTGTGTTTTAGGGCTGGAGTTAGCGTGGCCTAACCAGTTCAAAGTGATGTTTTAGTTTAACCTCAAGAAAGTCATATTTTGACTGAGTTATAGTACCAGAAAAGCGTAAATTCCAAGAATGTTACGGGGTCAACAGCTAAAGTAATATGAAACCAACAAACAGCAAATGCAACTGCTGACTTATGCCTTCTAATATTTTACATACATATAAAAATATCTATGATCCTTTAGACGTTTCGCCAGTATGTCAAAACAACTCGATGTGCAGCTAACTTAGCTTTTACTTTTCATTTGCCGTTGCAGTAAGTAAACTTAGCGGCCGGCTCACATGATATTTACACCATGTTATTAAAGTCCCAGTTTTGTGCACGAGAAACTTTCCTTCAGCGCTGAAAATACTCTGCCAAACCAAATCCTGGGAATATTATGCTGCTTTTTCACCAGAGTGTATCCTTAAATATCGTTATCATCAAAGACAGCAACAGCAGTCTCATCTAGACAGCCCAGCGGGCAGAACAACTGTACTAGCAAACTTGCAGAGCTTGCTAACCCGAGCTAGCTAGCACAACATTATATCTCAACATTGAATACATTCTTTAATGTGAGTCTTTATGTTGAATATGGTGTGTTAAATCCTAGAAAGGGCCATTGCATAGTCATGCTTACCCCAATTTTTTAAGCTAAGCAGCGTTTCCAGATAAAAGGGAGGAAAGGAAAAGACGATTGTTCAAAATACCGCGCCGAGCGCCATTCCTCCCTGACATTTCACAGGCCGGCCACGCCCTCCATGCGATACGAAACACTGACGTAACACTTAAAGCTACAGCACAATTGCATTATCAAAGTTATGACTGTTTCTACAAAACTATTTAATGCTTTTTTTTCTTTTTCTTCTTTTTTTACAAAATATTTTTTTGAAAATAAAAACTATTATTAGTTAATAAAAAAACAAACAACACAGTCAGCCTTGGAGCTCGTGTGCTGGATATTTACCGAAATCTGACAGAGCACTACCCAGTAGCCTCACTAAGTGCCCAGTCTCACGTACCACTGTCAGGTAGTCAATAAATAATAAGATGGTGGACATGTTTACTTACATGTCCTGTAGTTTCTCTTACTATAAGAGTGGTAAAACACATGAAATGCACTTCAGAAAAACAGACAAGATAGACTTCAACCTGCAGTTTTTACTGCCAAGATGGGAGTAAAATGTCTTCACCAGGGAGAGTACTGCATGATTCAATCCCAGATTTGAGCTGCTTGCATACTACAGAGTGTCAAGAGATGTTTTCGCCTAAGGTCTTAGGTAGGCCAGCGTAGTCTCTCCAGTACATTCATCATAAGGGACATGAGGTCAAATTGATAGTCATTGAGCTCTTAAGGTGCTAACTTTTTCTTGTACAAAAGTCGATACATCAGACATTTCTTTATGTATTTTGCATATACTTATATACTTTTTGACTGATGTTGAATATAGATATTTAGTTTTTAACTGATACCACTTGTATATAACTTGGCCTCTGGTGTTGTATCTATTTTATTACTTTTACTATTATTCAACATTATTTAGTTAGGCTATATATTTTAGTTATATTTTACTTAAACTTTACACATACTTTTGACTGGTTTGATAAAAATGTCAGCTCAATTCAATTTTATTTACATAGCATTTAAAAAGTAATAAAAAGAAAACCCAGACAGTCAAATTAATCCCTAAGAACAAACACTTGGAAACAGTGGAAAGGAAAAACTCCTTTTTAACAGGAAGAACGTGCCAGAGGGTACAGGGGCAGCCATCCACTACAACTGGTTTGGAGTGTGTTGAAAGAGAAGAGAGCAGAGAGAGAGACAAGGCAAAAGGCATGCTGTGGAAGTCCACCAGAGATTGGCTGTAACTAATGATTATATGTAAAGTGGTGTATAAATACACAGAAAGTAAGAAGAAGTAAGTGATAAGGAAATGCTATTCATAAAAGTAGAGAGGGTGTCTGTCTCCTGAATGCAATCTGGTAGCTGGTTTCTCAGAAGAGGGGCCTGAAAGCTGAAGGCTCTGCTTTCCATTTTACTTATAAATGCTCTAGGAAACACAAGTAAGCCAGCAACTCGTGCGAGAAATTCTTTGTTAGGGTGATATGGTATTATGAGGTCTTTAAGATAAGATAGGGCTTGGTTATTCAATACCTTGTATGTGAGGTGTAGAATTTAAATGGGATTCTGGATTTAACAGGAAGCCAGTGAAGGAGAAAAGGCCTTTCTAGTCCCCGTCACTACTGTTACTGTAGCATTCTGTATCAATTGAAGGCTTTTCGGGGAGCTTTTAGAACAACCTGATAATAATGCTTTACAACAGCCCAGCCTAGATGCATTAAATACAGAATCTAGTTGTTCAGCATGTCTGTGAGACAGGATATTTTATTGCGCAAAAACAAGAAAGCTCTTCATATTTCAGATGATACTAGTGTTAACAATAGATTGACCCTTTTTTAGGTTAATTACAAAATTAGCAGAAAAAAATGCAACCAAATATAGCTATGATTGTTTTCAGGAAAGGGATGGATAGTTTATAATACTCACCAAGTTTTGTTTAAAAACATATATTAATACATAAAATTAAAACAATACAATAGTTCAACATTTAAGCGTGGCCTAAAATAATTATAATCATTCTTTTCCCTCTTCCGCTCCCATCGCTGGCTGCGTCACTTCCTGGCCGAGCTCTGCGCTCTGACTGCAGACGGAAGGCTCTCCCCTGTCTCGGCAGATGAAACCGGTGTTGACACTTCGACGCAGGCTACAATGGCGACCGAAGTGAGGCAGGAGCTTACACAACTGATGAACTCAAGTGGCTCTCATAAAGATCTTGCTGCCAAGTATGTAACGTTAGTTACGGAGAACATCACTCGTTAAAAACTGCAACAGAAACTGCTAGCTAGCAGCTGGTCTGCACAAAGCTAAGCTAATGTTAGCTGCATTAGCCAAACATTCAGATAGAAATGCAATCAGTCTGTCAATGTTTGCTTTTAGGTTTTATCCAAAGTGCAAGGAACATAAAAGGAGTGACTACCCACATTAATTGTTGGTAAAATAATTATGAGAACTGTATATTTTATCACCAAAGCTAACTAGCTAACTTGCTGCTCTTTAGCTACATATTTGGTGCAGAGCACAACATAGCTTTAATACAGTTTGAACAAAGTGATACTTGACTAGAAAACTGCCAGGACACCCTTTGCGTACGTTCTTACCATCCTATAAACAACCATTTTATTAGGAACACCTGTGCATTTTATTAAGTACAACTGTACTGTAAAGTCTACTTTTGCAATTTCAGTTTTCGTCAGCATTGTCCAAAAGGTGATAAATCTATTTAAAAATCTTTTAGGTCCTGTTATATACGTGTTTGTATAAGAAGAAATTGTTTACTGTATCCACAGTATATGCTGATAGTTAATTAAAGTGAAAATATTTAAATACCTGTTTAATAAAGGGAGGTTTAATTCACTCAAGCTTAAATACACTTGTTTTTCACAGAAGTCACAATCAAATGCATCAACTTCTCTTAAGTAAGGGACCACAGACTGATTGCTGTAATTATATGTGAACTGGTGTGTGCATAGTTCTGTTATGTTCACAGCACTTTAGTGACATGTTGATTACAGATTTATTTATGAAATGATATTTACTGAATGGATTGGGTACTTTTCCCTCAATTTTGGTACTTTTTTTGGTACTCATTTCAAAATAATAAATTCAAAATTTCCTCTCACAGAATAAGTCCATACTTCTCAGTTTGTACATTTTGTTATTTACTTACAACATTTTAGTTGTGTCACAGTGTCATCATAGTGTCTGTGATGTTCTGTCATAGTGTTCTACAATATTAAATATTAATTGTAGACTCTTATAGGTTGTGACACAACATCTGTTAGATGGTGCAGTTGACAAATGACTGTTCAGTCTTTTACAACCAAGCAGTCAGGGTTTTTTTTTTAAACTATTTTTTTAATTCATAATAATATATGATGTTTGTTATATCATAAGGGAATACAGTATACATGGGATTATGTAATTTCTCCCACAGATTTACAATCTGTTTCTGGTGAGGGAGGGTTTTAGATGTGCTTTAACAATAAATAATTGATGAATATAAATATTATTGGCTGCTTCATCAGTGAGTCTCTTATACTGCAAATGACTTTTAGTTATGTCATCCTGGAGATTATTTGGGTGTCAGCGGGCCTTGTTCTGCTCTGTAGCCTTAGTGAGCTCATTGTAGCATCACATGGGCAGCCATTAATATACCTTGCCCAAGTAAAGTTAATCTGTGGGAAAACACTGGGTTTCATCCAATAAGCTAAAATGTATTTGTGTTTCATATTTAAGTTTTAATCCTTCGGTTTTCTATGTAAACATTTTAAACTTACCAGCAAAGTTGGAAGGTTTCTGACCGGTGAAATCTTTTGCAGATATCGACAAATTCTGGAAAAGGCCATTCAGTTTACAGATGCTGATCAACTGGAATCCTTGAAGGCCTTTGTAGAAGCAAGTATGGTGTGCCTGTATTCTTCTGTAATATCTGCTTATTCTACGTCCTTGGTTCATTTTTCAGGAGCATGTCTTACTATTATATTTTACATTCTTGCAGTGGTCAATGAAAATGTCAGTCTCGTCATTTCAAGACAGCTGCTCACTGATTTCTGCACACATCTGCCCAACCTGCCTGACGCCACAGCAAAAGCAGTGTATCACTTCACCTTGGAAAAGATCCAGCCGAGGGTCATTTCCTTCGAGGAACAGGTAAATTTGCTCCAGCTCTCTGACGCAGTGTAAATGGAGGTAACCATTCAGGCAGTTAAGCTTGAGTATTGTCACTGCAGCGCTTAACTGAGTA